TCCAGAAGGTACAGTGGTGATGTTAGGGAACAAGGACAAACAATGATGTTCATGTGGTAGTTGAAAAGTGTTGTTTGTGCTGCTATACATTGAAGATAATTAATTTTGTTTCTGTTGACATCAAGAAAAGACCTCAAGAAAAGATGCTGGAGTTTCTCTCTGTATACGGAAGGCTTATGTTTAAGCATGGGAAATCATGAATAATATCAAAGCAGTTTTGTTGCATGACTTTTATTGTCTAAGTAAGCTACTGAAACCCACATATTCAGGCCATTGTCAGTCTTCTGTCACAGGTACATCGTGTGTACCTGTTTTATATGAGTATGAAAAGAGGTGTCTTTAGTACTAATTGGCAAAGTTTTGCTCTTCTAGATTGATTTACTTTGCCACATCCTTAGCACATCACTTCCTGCAATAATATTTTGTATCAGTCACATTAACTGGACTCTTCAAGTTGCTTTTCGTAGCCCTCGGAATTGTCAAGGTGGCCCCTGTGTGTCGTCTTAAATTTCTCCTGGAGTCCTTAGATACCAATTAGTGAAGGTTTTTTTTGCTTGTTTGTAAGAGGAATTTCATGGTTAACATGGATGACAGAAAGCAAATGCAACTCACTGTATTTATGAGTAGCTGAGCTTTTGAAGCAGTTTCAAATTTGGTGACATCTGCTAAGCACTTAACATTCTCTCCCTGCCCAGGTTCGCATTCAGGAGACGCAGGCCGAGCTGCCACGCGGTAGCATTCCTCGCAGCGTCGAGGTCATCTTGCGTGCAGAAGCTGTGGAGTCCGCTCAGGCAGGTGACAAATGTGACTTCACAGGGTCCCTGATTGTCGTGCCTGATGTGTCCCAGCTCTCAACACCAGGTTTGTTGCTACCGCTCCTGACCTCGGCGACGCGTCCCTCCTGCTTGTCCTGGGAACTGCTGTTCTGACTCCCGCTCTCATGGCAGGCGTGCGCGCAGAAACCGGCTCCCGGGTGAGCGGGACAGAGGGTTATGAGACCGAAGGCATCCGAGGACTTCGTGCCCTTGGAGTCAGAGAGCTGTCATATAAGCTAGTTTTTCTAGCTTGTTACGTTGCACCAACAAATCCACGGGTGAGTTTGGATAGAAAGCAGATTTAAAGGTATTGATGATCTCTGCTCTGTGTGGTTTTACCTCAAAGGAGGTAAAGCTTTCAATATGTACGTGTACCACCTTCCTGTGCGTTTGACGGTCTTTGTATTCTGATTGCATCCATACACCAAGTTGTTCTTCTTGTCTTTGTTGTTCATAGCAGTTTTCAGAGATGTGATTATTCACCAATGTTATCACTTGATTCTGAAGAGCTACATGGTCCATTTATTTCCATTCAGCTTTTATCCATTTCTCCAGCATTTCCTTTTCCTCCAGGAAATCCTATTGCTTCATTTTTGTCACAGGGAAAAAGTTTGTTCCTCTGCTTGTTCCTCTGCTTTATCACATAACATCTTGTAATGTTAATACAACATAATAAGTAATACTGACTAGGGCTGAGTTTTAGATGGTATGATATTTTAATCTATAATTCTGCTAGCAGCTTCACCATCACATAGGATAAAAATAGTGTATTTTACTTTCTGGGGGTAGAAGTTTCCTGCCTCATTCCAGACTAATGAAAGATCTTATAAATTCCGGTTAATGAAGACTGCTTACAAAGGCAAATTTTAGCCAAAAGAAGCCATGCTATTTACTCTCTTTATAATCTCTCAACAAGCATCTCTCCTGGGTTTTTCTCACTAACTGAAGTTAGATTCCGTTGATTTTGCTCCCTAGGAAATGGTCTGTTGGTTTTTAAAGGTATAAGGTGATGATCTTCCTTAGCCTAAGGTCAGTTTTTCTGAATGTGTTTGTCCCAGTCAGCTTAAAGAGCAAGTTTTATAACCTCCTGTCCACAGCACTCGCGTGCAGTACTGACCATGTTATTACTTTTTTTTTTTTTTAATTTCTTGTGTTTAGTTTGGTGGAAAAGAGCTCCGAGATGAAGAACAGACTGCAGAAAGCATTAAAAACCAAATGTCTGTGAAAGAGTGGGAAAAGGTGTTTGAAATGAGCCAAGATAAGAACCTTTACCATAATCTGTGCACCAGCCTCTTCCCCACTATCCATGGTAAGAGTCCAGTTGTTGCATCAGAGAGGGAAGATTTCTTTTGTGAAAAGAGTACTTCTTGATGTCTGTGTTGTGCCATTTTGGGAAAGATTGAAAGCCCTCTGCGAACTATCACAAACTTTCCCCTCTAGCACTGCTTGTGCTGGAAAAGGAGAACCTATTTCCTGAGTACTTGCTGTATTTAATCATTAAGACCTGCAAGACTAGTAAAAATGGTTGGTTTTGCTATTGGGTGATCTACAACCAAACCCTACAGCTGACAGTTGGATATAAGCTTAACTTTTTATGGATGTCTTTCAAAAGATTTAAGGGTTCCAAACATTTGTATGCTGTTGTGCATGTGCGTATGTGTATATGTTTACAGTTGTTTCCGGCTCAGAGCTAGTTTGAGGACTTATCTTGGTTACATCCGAACAGTTTGATCAGCTGAATTTGGTCCAAATTCTGGGCTGCCATAGCATAAAGGAATTCAGCCACTTTCTGGGTCGTTCTTCCCTGAAACTGTATCAAGCCGTTAAATGCAGTTTTAGTGGATGTTTAGGTAAAATAGGTAAATTCTGAGTGGATGTGCCTAAATGTTCTGAAATTCTAGTGGCCTGAAGTTTGTTGGTTTTTTTTTTAAATAAAGAAAGTGTGGTGTTTTCTTTGGAATTTTAGTTGAATGTCTTTCCTGGGGCAGGTAATGATGAAGTGAAACGTGGGGTCCTGCTGATGCTTTTTGGAGGAGTTCCTAAGACCACTTCAGAAGGCACTTCATTGCGTGGTGACATCAATGTTTGTGTTGTTGGTGATCCTAGTACAGCCAAGAGTCAATTTCTAAAGTAAGCATCTCATTAAAATTCAATATTTAAATATTGGCCAGTGTGACTAGAGCTATAAATATGTACTGTGCCTTTTCTATGTTAACAGAGGAAAGGGAAGTAAAATATTTAAGCATATTTTCCAGGAATTGTTTGGATGTCGTTGAATTATTTGAATAGGGCTGAAGCAAACTCAGCAGGGCCCTGTGGCTTTTCATAACAAAGAATGAATTAAGACTTTTTTTGGTGGTTAGGTAGTTATGAAGTATGTATTTTCAAATATTTTCAAATGACATTGAATATTAAGCTCTTTACTGCATATACTAAAATATCAGAGATAGATAATTTTTTTCTGTTTTTAGCTAAGTCTAAATTGGTAGGTCCCAACACTTTGAACAAATAGACAGTTATTAACCCTGAAAAGTAATTATGAAATAATTATGTTTTATGCTACATCTTGTGGTGTAATGCTTTTTTATTTGAAATGCTATGTAATATGGTTTTATTTTATTATGCTGCGCATTTACCTCTGCATTATTTTCCATGAAGCTGAGGTTCTTGCAGCATCCACTGCAACTCAGAAGTGTAGAGGCACCACAAAAGCTGCCTTAGGCTGCCTGTGGTCAGTCTCGCTGCTTCCTGCTATGAAGCCGTTTGTTCCCTGGTGCTGACATTTACCTGACCCGCAAGGAGCTGTGTTAGCTTTTGAACTCAGCAGAAGACTTGCGGGAGGAAGTCTGGACTGTTTTTAATGCTGGTGTAACCACGAGTGAAGAACAGACCTATGATAGACAGCAGTTAGATAAGGATTAGTTTCCAAATCTTGCTCAAACATGGTTAGAGGTGGGAGGGCCTACGTAAATATCAATTGCTTCCTGAAGGAAGGAACAAGTCCTGGCCTGAGAGGCTGAAAGCTGCACTACATTAGAGTTATCTTGTTTCTGCAGGCTTTAATCTGACTTTTAAAGTTTGTGCAGTACAATTCCTCACGGGTATTTCTCTCCATAGGCATGTGGATGAGTTCAGTCCTCGTGCGGTATACACCAGTGGAAAAGCGTCCAGTGCCGCTGGTCTCACAGCAGCTGTTGTAAAAGATGAAGAGTCTCATGAATTTGTCATTGAAGCTGGAGCACTGATGCTGGCGGATAATGTGAGTCTGGGAACTAGAGAGGTTCCTGCATCCCTGGAACGGTTTTGACAAAGAGCCCCAAATTGTCTTAATGATGTTTTTTTCCCAAAAGTGATAGAATTTGGGTGACTTCTTAATTTTTATTCTTCTGCTGCAGGGGGTCTGTTGCATTGATGAATTTGACAAAATGGACGTGCGGGATCAAGTAGCCATTCATGAAGCGATGGAGCAGCAGACTATATCCATTACTAAAGCGGGAGTAAAGGTAGCTTGCACTGTTCCCCTGGTTGTGTGGTCTGTACGGTCACCTGGCTGTTTGTTACATGTACCAATCAAGCATCATCTGTCAGGTTTTCGTGCCAGCTCTGCAGCTGCCTCAGTGAGGAAGGACAAAGATCACTTGCCTGCAAAGTTTTTGTGCCACATACCCAAAAAAGATCAGAAATGTTACTGAAAGGAAAAGAGATAGAAGAGATAGTAGTGGGCAGGAAAAAGAAAATGGGAAAATCCTAACCTTGAAGTAACCACAAAAGAGGATACAAATTTGTGTGTGTTTGTAGACGTAAAGTCTATATTTGCACTGTTAAAAACAGGGTGTTGTGAAAAGCAGTTTTAAGGGCTTGTTTCAGTATTGTTGGCAAGGGTATGACAATGTTAAAATATTGACTCATCAAACTGTGTCTTGGGGCAGAGACCTGGGCTGGTTAGAAGAGTTTGCGCTCTTTTGAGGAGTGATTGTTGTAATACTTGAATTAAAACTCTATCTGAAACGTGTTATGCTGACCCATTCAAACTGCAATGAGTTGGTTTAGCAAGTGGTCACAGGTATCATTCTTTTTTTTAATTTTTTTTCTTTCTTTCTCATTGTCAGGCTACCCTGAATGCCAGGACCTCCATTTTGGCTGCAGCAAACCCAGTTGGCGGGCGCTATGACAGATCCAAGTCACTGAAACAGAATATAAACCTTTCAGCTCCTATCATGTCTCGCTTTGATCTCTTCTTCGTCCTTGTGGATGAATGTAATGAGGTAATTTTAGGGAATTGTGGAATAATTTATGTCAGAAAAGACCTCTAGAGGTCTCTAGTCTAACCTCACGCTCAATGCAGATCATTGAGAACAGGCTGCCAATGCCTTGACCTGGTGAGTTTTGAGTATCTCCAAGGATGGAGATTCTGCAGCATCTCTAGGCCCCTACTGCAAGGTTTGACAACTCTCATGTGTTTAAAAAATAATAGTAACTTTTATATCTAATCAGAATTTCTTGTGGTTCAGTTTGTGTCGGTTGCCTCTTGTCAATCTGTGCTTCTAAGAACAGTCTGTCTCCATCACATCTATACTCACCAGTGAGGCAGTTGCTTTCTTTTCAAGCTGAGCAGACCCAGCTGTTTCAGCCTCTCCTCACACATCATGTGCTCCTGCCCTCTGACCGTCTTGGTGGTCCTCTGCTATTTTAGGTGAAGCTGATCTTGTGAGACTGTCTTCCTTCTACTTTTCTTCTCTGTCTGTGAAGTTAAAAGCTGGCAGTACAAATCTGAACATGCTCTCCTGAATACAAGGATACTGCTTTTTTATCTTGTAGTGATTTGACCTGCAAACTTAACACCATTAGTCATTTTTACAAATTGCTGGTCACTAAGGCTAAGACTGCTACCACCTGTTTATGTGGCATTTGCCTTGGGAATGCATGAGATAGAGATTAATGTTGGTGCAGCGCTATTCTCTCCACTGTTTTGCTCAGGGTGATTGTCTAATTGAGAAGTGACTGATGAAAGAGAGTAGGCTGAAAAGGAAGAAAGCAATTCCCACGCTGCAAAGTGCTGCTTTCTGCCTGTTCTATGGCTAGCTTGTAACCCAGTAGAGTTCCAAGAGGTTATAAATCCCAGAACTGCCTTTTGTCCCTTCTCCACTATGTTTCCTTGTATTAAAAACCTCCAGGGCATTCTCCTGGATCTTCCTGGCAGAGAGTCTGGCTTCTGGAAAGACTGCCTCTGCCATGAGGAGTGCAAGTGAGGGAGGGGAATGGGAAGGAAGAATACAGCGGTTGTTTTGATCTGACAGAGCAATAATATCCCAGGTTACAGATTATGCCATTGCCAGACGCATAGTGGATCTCCATTCCAGAGTAGAAGAATCTGTTGATCGTGTCTATTCGTTAGATGACATCAGAAGGTATCTGCTGTTTGCAAGACAGTTTAAACCAAAGGTAATTCTACTTTCCTGGATAAGTTGTTCTGTATGAGGAGGTCCAAAGGAACAGTCACTCTGTAACGTGCTTTTTTTCTAGCAAATGCAAAGACACTTAGTGTAGTGTTCTCTCAAGAAAGGAGCCATAAACTCAGTTATTATTGAGAAACATAGCATATTTTGGAGCCATGTACTCTTTTTATTTTTTTTTTTTTTCCTTTTTGAACTCCAGAAACCCAGCCAGCCCAGCTGAGACTGTTATAATCAGTAGTCTTAACTGCTTTGGTGGCAGTTCTTAACCTCTGTCTAGAACGACTGAGGGGTCGTTTCTTAGCTTTCTCATACCTCAAGGGCATGGGTTATTCAACACGACTGCTGCAGAGATTTTTGTACTTTAATGACTTATTGCTTAATCAATCAGTTTGCCTTTATTTTAAAAGGGTATTGTTCTTCAATACTTTCTTTTCTTTCTTTCTGGTAAAATACAGAATAAGGGAAACTGTACAAATTTTTGCGGTCTATCCAAATATTGGATGGGCTGTGTGTTTTTTTTCAGAAGTTCATCTGATGTAGTTCTTCTCAAATGGAAGGAGAGGATACCTTCCCTTATAGAGTTTTGAAAACTCCTATTCATTTCCGTGTGGTGGGGAGTTACTTTTCTGGCTAGATCTTGTGTATATGCAGATCGACTCAGGCTAAAAAGCACGTACACGAAGCTGTAGTCAGTGTTAGCATGTCGAGTGTATGCTTGTGTGTGTCTGCACGCAGAATGAAAGGTAAATAACCACAGAACAATCTAGTAGAGATAGACAGGAATTATGCCTGGAAGGAAGTCAGTGGAATAGAAAAGTAGAAATTATCAAAAATCTGCTGTAAAATAATTAATGCGTCAATGTCCTTATTGTAATATCATTGTTACTGTAATCACTATTACAATATAATTTAACTTAATATGATTGTCATTATATTTATGTATAGTATGTGTATAGCCTAGAATATTTCAGAGAAAAGCGGTAGCTAGTACAGAGAAGCCTGGGAACTGCCAATCTAATGCAAGAAGCATAAGCTTTAATACTTTTAACATGGCAAACTGTCATACTGTCTTATCTCACAAAGATATCTAAGGAGTCTGAGGACTTTATAGTGGAGCAGTATAAACGGCTGCGGCAGCGTGATGGCTCTGGAGTGGCAAAGTCGTCCTGGAGAATCACAGTGCGACAGCTGGAAAGCATGATTCGGCTGTCTGAAGCTATGGCCCGTATGCACTGCTGTGATGAGGTATCAGGTTTTTAGTGAAAGTTTGTATAAATGTTTCTGTAAATGTTGTGGGATTTCTGGCTTTGCTATTTGACGATGGTATTGTACATATTTAAATCCTGTGGGTGAGGAGGAAAGCTTGGATCATGTTTTCACTTGTGATGTGGTCATATTCATCTGAATTTTTATGCCAGAAATACTTTTTTTAAGGTATGTGTTATAAAATTGGAGATCAGCTGCCCAAACTGAGAACGTGCTTTTTTGTTTTGCTTTCTTTTTTTGTTTTGTTTTCATTAGAGTTGTGTCAGCACTCTGACACCTGTCAAATCATGACAAATAGGAAGAACAATCATCTACTAGTATCAGCCAGGGCTGTTGGCAGTGTCTTTGCTCATCTTGCGTAGTTTGTAATCTCTCACAGCTCTCTTCCATCTGCAATCTAAAAAGCCAAAGTCGATCGACGTATCTGAATCTCCCTAAGAGTATCTGTATTTGTGATCTGAGCTCCTGCTCTCGTCAACCAATGTTGAAATGTATATTGTGTTATGGCTATTAACTGTGGTATGACTATTATCCATCTAGTCTCTGCTTTAAAACTCAGCAGGCTTTTTGAAATGTTAATTAGGGGTTGCGTGACACATGCAGTGATAGAAACTTGCTCACTGGTTGTGCGAGGAGGACACCCATTGGGTTGTTCTTAATTAAATTCAGCTTATAAAGAAACATATAGCTTTTAGCTTATGGCTCAGCTAGAGATGATTTTTTCCAGTTTTTGCTTTTCGATTCCAGAGGAGAGTCTCATTAATAACATTTCTCTCTCATATTGTTTCTGTTGAGACCCATTCCTTTCATGTTTCTTGCTCCACGGATCTTTCTTCAAAATGTTCTTGCCTTAAGAAAAATTTTATCGACTCCACATGATCACTAAAGCCTGAAAGATTCATGTGGCTGCTTATTCCCTCCATAACCTTGTGTGGACTCAGAGTACTTGTAGTGGGATATAATTTGACTTGCAGAGTCTTTACTGTGTAGGATTAATCAGGTGAGAAGGGTAGAAAGACCCTCCATCAGAGTCAGGGGTGAGTTCTGAAGCTATTGGGGGGGAAAAAAACTTGTACCACTAGAAGAGCTACCATGCCTGTTTAATACGTGTGTTTTCAAATCTTCCCCAGGTTCACCCGAAACATGTGAAGGAAGCTTTCAGGCTTTTAAATAAGTCCATCATTAGAGTTGAGACTCCTGACATCAATTTAGACCAAGACGATGAACAGCAAATGGAGGAACAAGAGGACCAAGATGGAGTCAATGGTAAACTGCTTCTAGAGATTTTTTTCAAAGGGGAAAGTGCTTCCAGGCTTTACAGCTTGCATTGTTTGAGTATATGCTACTCTTCAGTTTCTCACCTATTTCTCATCTAATAAGGTCTAGGAATCTTGACTCCCATTCTTAACTCTCTTACTTCTTCAGCCTCCTTGTGGGCCCGCTCACCTGGATGATCAATGCAACACTTTTCAGTGGCTCAGAGTATTAAACAGTTAAGAGATTACAGATTTAAAGATGGCATGTAAAGATGGGCATGTGTCCAAACAGGTGAGGCAGAAGCTCCAGCTGGGGTCAATGGGCCCACTGTGAATGGGATCAATGGCCATTCTGAGGACACGAACCAGGATGCCGCACCCAAAGCTTCTCTTAGGCTGGGCTTCTCTGAGTATCGACGAATTTCTAATCTCCTGGTGCTGCACCTCAGGAAAGCAGAAGAAGGTAAGAATTCATTTATTAAAAAGATGGCAGACCCTGAATTGTGTCACCGTGCGTGCTTTGGCTCTTTTACTAAAGAAATACACCTGAAGCTCACGTGGGAATTTTTTAGCTGTGAAGAAAGCTGTGTATTTCAGCTACTTTAGAGAGAAAGGGCTTGAGCATGTCACATATTAAAAAAATTAGAAGTATGTCATCATAGATCTTGAACAACAGTTGCCACTTCCTTCTCTGCATTTTTCAATGTAGTTTGGTAAACGTTACTGTGTGAGTGAAACCTTCCTTGCTAGGTCCATGAAGTACTTCAGACATGTTAACAGAGTAACCTCTGCAGGGGTTCACAAACTTGCTGCTCTGAGGGAACTAATCTTTCCCTGCTGAGGTTCAGCACAGGTCGCTGCATCAGTTCAGGCAGCAACTGTTCCTACATCTGCTGTTACACTCCATATTTTCACTCCTGCTGAGACAGCAGGCTGGTTAGGCCAGGTGCAGCCCTGTACACGTGGCTGTACTACGTCTGATGACACGAATATGGCTGCTTGGACTTTCTAGCTCTGGTATCTTAGTCATTTGTCAAAACCCGGTAAAGCAAGGAGCATGTCAACAGAGCAATCCAGAAAAGGATTTGTAGCATGTGCTGGTTTAACAGAGCTAGAATAATTGGCAGCAGTGAAAACTGTAGCAAGAGCTTTAATGTATGACAGCAACCACAGCCTAAAATAGATACGTAACCAGTATGTGCCAAGTGGGTGCATCCTCTCATGGGGAGATGAAATGTTCCAATTGCAATGAGGCTATTCCTGTGATGAAATGCAGTGGATGTCTGATAGCATATACCAATGCTATGAAGTTTTTGGATGAGTGCAGAAACTACAATATCTGTTCAAAATGGTGAGTATTTGTAGAAGGATAAGCTCTTTGGCTTGGGATGGCAGTGATTTTCTTTTGCCTTTACTTAGAGGAAAGTTTTACAGCTCCTTAGAACTACTTTTTCTTGAAGCTGAAGGCAGATGCGATTGCTGGGCTGCTCATTTTAAGTTGTAAGCCACGTGGATGTATAGAACTGAAAGCTTCAATTCTCAATCTAAATGTCTCTGATTAAACCATGATACAACAGCCTCCTGTAGAAAACATGATGATTTAAGAAACGGAAGGAAGTCTGATGGGCTGTTGCATGTTTCTCTCTTCAGCATTGTAAATGTTAACATAGAAATCCTTTGCTGTTACAGTTTGAATGGTATCTTACTGCTGCTGTTAATACAAATTATTTTCTTTGCAGAAGAGGACGATTCATCGTTAAAGAAGAGTGAACTTATTAATTGGTATCTAAAGGAAATTGAATCTGAAATAGAATCTGAAGAAGAACTAATAAATAAAAAGAAGATCATAGAGAGAGTCATTCACCGACTTACGCACTATGTATGTATAGAGATGTGTGTACAGTGAAAAAGGCTCTTATTTAGTGCAATGATTCATTTTTAATAGATTACTAATTTGAGAAGTGTATTTTGTCCTTCTGTAGTATTGACGCCTTCTTTGTTTGATATCTTAAAAATAATTCTAGAGAAAACGCTGAAATAAATTAGAGATGTGTACAAGTAAAAGTTCAAAGCATGCCATATTATGTCCCTATAGAAGTGCAAGTGGTATTTTTCTGTAGTTCTGTAGCGTTAGTTATACATCAGGATAGAGAAATGCAAACAACACTTTATTCAGTAGGTAGCTTTAAGTTATGGGGGGCACTAGGGCAGTTAGGAGGAGGAAGTATGAAAATATATAATACTTCTCATTTTTAAAGGTGCAAACCTACTAGATTTCCCAGAAAGCATACAAGATATGAAAGATTTCCACTGAACGTAATTGTTAAGATTAGGCACCTGTTAAAGAGGGAATTCACAATTAAAAGGGTTAAATAATTCATCGATAAGAGGTGCTACCAGTTTAAAAAGGACATGCCTTTCAAAAAGTGCAAACCAACCTGTCTTGCTCTTGTTTGAACACAATTTTTTGCCTGTTGCAGGACCACATTCTGATAGAACTGTCCCAGTCGGGACTGAGAGGATCCAGAGAAGAGGAGACTTTTGATGAAGATCCATACCTGGTTGTCAACCCAAACTATCTGCTGGAAGACTAAGGGCTGAGAACTGGATTGTAGAACTGACTAGTTACATGCTGGGAAATGCATTCCTTGCTGCGTTCTCGCAATGGTTGCTGTATAGCTAACATCTGAAATTCCTGTGAATGCTTTACTGTGGAATGCGCCACTGTGCGGATAGTAATTTGTGATCGCTCATTTACACTGAGCACAGCCGGAAAGTTTTTAAGGAAGTGACACACTTAATATATTAGTTTCATTATTAATTCTGGGTTTCACTGCCATCAGAGGAGAACCATTCAATAGCTCTTTTCAGCATCAAGCTATGTAGATGCTTCTGTTTTACGAGAGGAATTTTGCATTGTTCTTCTATTGTATTTAGTAGATTTTTTGTGCTATAGATTTTTACTGTTTTTCTTCTTAACATAAATAAAAGATCATTAAATGTCTAGAGATGTCCGGGGGTGGATTTGGTGTCACTCATATGTGGGATTAGTATTTTCTATGCCTGTGCTTTGAGGCTGAAAAAGTAGTGATCTAAATGGTTAGTGTCTTCAGAAAGATTAAACTTCCTGGATGACAGATGGTATTTTTTAAGAAGTTTTTTTTTTTTTTAACTTTCAGTAATGGATAATGAGAAACTCTGATTGCTTCTCGTCCTTTTTAGATGGACTTAAGATGTGTATGCTCCTGTTGCATATATAAAATAGAAAATTGAAAATAGCCAAGCCCAAAGCAAGGCTTTAAATCAGCAGGTCAGAAAGCTCCATCTTGATGAATGTCTTGACTTGTAAGTGAATTGAAAACTGCCATCATTTGTGAGGGATTTTTAAGACTATATTTGTAAACTTGTTTGTAGATTTTTCTGTAAGAAAATTTTACTTAAATTTTCTGTTGTTCTCAATTATTTGCTGTATGCTACGGGAGTCTTAAATAATCTATTAAGAATTAAAAATAGCTGACCGTTTGCCTTGTCAATCTGATACCAGCACCGAAGAAACATTTATAATGGCATGAAACATACCAAAGCTATATACTTTAACTACAAATAGTGTGAAATAACTGTCTCTGAAGCAGATCCAGACATGGAGCTGGTTTGTAAGATGGTCATCTTTTTTCCTGTTAGTCTCTTCCACCTTTGGAGAGCTATGCTTTGGCCTAACTGTCATTAGAGATCATTTAACTATCATTTAACTAAAGGTTACAGTTATATTTGTGGAACAGAAGGAATCATAAACATTTGTCACCAACACCACTACCCCATCACTGGGCATTAACTCACCAGCTCTAGCTGCAGTAACTTCTCTCCACAACTTTATTTCATAAACTGCATCTCGGCAAATGCTACAGTTCGTTAGAAATTGACACCCACCAGCAACATCAGTGTCATGTTATTCCATATTGTTCGTTTACTTTCAAAATAAGGACAGGAATATGTTTGTACTTCATTTCCATGTTTTCTCTTCCCCCCCAGTCTTTGTTTGGTGATAACTATTTTTCACATGGAGAAAGTAGCTTTTCTGCTTCTTTCCCCAGTTCTATATGCTTCATAGGCTAGGAGGGGTGTTCTCGGAGTTAACGCTGCTCTACTGAAAAACAAGCAGCAGGTGGTGCTGCAAAGATCCTATCCAAACTTCTGAGGCTGTCCGGGGCGGGGAGGGGGGAAAGGCGCAAGAGAGTGCTTAAGTTGTTCAGAACAGCAAGCACAATGTTTCAGCAAGCTTTTCTCGGCTTCCTGAAAAAAATAGTCACCTGGGAATCAAACAGGGTCGAAGTACACAAATTAGCAATCCCTGTATAAGACTGGCTATTTGAGTAACAGCAAATGTAGAGAGACATTTTTTCCTGTAACTTTATATTGCTTGACAGAGCAATAAGTTTCCCAGATGATTCCAGATATACTGTAGACAAAAAGCTGATAGTTACAGGAAATAAACTGGGCAATGGAACTGACTTTTCAGTATAGTTATGTAGAACTTTGTGCTTAGTTGATTTAAATATGTTCTGTATTTAGGCAGCACAGACAGCAGTTTGAGGTAAATGTTCTCAGCTCTTCAGCTTTGCTGTATTGGAATGTAGAAGAGTCAAGCTGTCTCTGCCCTGCAGCAGTTCAGGTAGGTGATCTGTATGTGTCCACCCTGCTGAGAGAGCCTGTGTTCTCAAGGCTGAAGGGAGGAGTACTTTGGAAAGCAATAAAATGACACTGTTCAAATTCCTTGATGTTATCGGGCATGAGGATGCGCGTTGCTGCTGCCTGAATTCACATAACAACCACTATTCCAAGTGGGTAAGGTGCCACAGCTCAGATTTCCTTTATGCACCCAAGAATTATGGCACAGACGTGCCTCTTGCTGGCCTGCCCACCCTGAGCTGTGGCGGCACCCAGCCCCAGCAACGCAGATAGCCCTGCTTTTGTTATCCTCTGCATCCAAAGCTGGGCTGGGATTTCTCTTAAGCCAAAAAAGGCCCAAGAGGAGATGAAAAGCGTTGTCTACTTATCTTCCTCTGAAATGGAGGCAGTATCAGCAAATGTCAGTTGATGTTCCAGCATAAGGCGGAACCTGAGCATCTCAGAAAATGTTTTCACATGACCTTTCTCCAACTAATTGTTTGACAGTGTTTTTTGTATTCATCCATTTGTTAGTTCAGCTGTTGATTGAAGGTCCTGATTTGTTATCGTTCTGGTGTCAGCTAGGCCTGGGAACATTTATCTGTGTAATAGATAATTTCAGTTAAATATTACTTCTGCCATAATATAAGTAGTGTGGAATACCTGTTTCTGAAGCAGGTCCAGAAATGGAGCTGATTTGTAAGACAGTTGTCTTCTTTCTGTTAGTCTATCCCAGCCTTGGCATAGATGGGGAATTTGCTCAGAATTTTATCGCCGTTGCTGGACCTTTGCCCAGCGAGTTAGGAAACAGATTGCAACTGCAGAACCAATTCCTACCTGAGGAAGATCAGGGCCCTGCTGTGGCTGAAGCCCATGATTACCTGTGCCAACAAGACCTTGTGGCTTCTGAGCTGCCCCACTACTTCTCCCGCCTTCGTGAGATTGGGGTGACGCATTACAAAATCTTCCTGCCGTGGGCACGTGTTCTGCCGAAGGGGGATGCCAGGAAGCCAGATGAAGCTCAAGTGCAGTGCTACCAGGAGCTGCTCAAGATTCTGGCTGCTGCAGGCCTCAGGCCAGTGGTGGTTCTGCATCACCAGCGTGTCCCTGGCGCTGTGGCTGCGCAGGCCAGGGGTGGGAAAGCCAACACTTTTGCTGACCTTTTTGTGGAATATGCAGAGTTCAGTTTCCGAGTTTTTGGGGATCTGGTCGGTGTGTGGCTCACCTTCAGTGACCTTCCAGAGGTCCTTGAAAGCCTGCCTTATGAAGACCCCCAGTACCGAGCCCAGGCCCTAGCTGCCACTCATGAAAGAGCTTACACCACCTACCACGAGAAATACTCGCCAGTGGGTAAGGAGAATGGGGAGAGGGATTTTTTTACATGACTTTCTCACAAATATTTTGTGGTAGGATTAAATGGCAACTGCTGTCTGCAACGCTCTTGTGAATATGCCGTCAGTGCTCTCAGAATTGCATAGAAATCCTTGAGTAACAGGTTTCTTCAAATCCCTTATTTTGACACTTCTTTTATAATTACTGATAATCACATTTTACTTGAAATGATAGCCAAAATAGTTGGAGATAATATATATGTGTATGTCTGCATATTTAGATTTAATCTTTTAAGCATCAGGGAAGTATTAAATAGCCTCCAGTTGATTTGAGCAGCAAACTAGTACTCCAAAACCAAACATCATAACACTTCTGTATGCTTTTTCTCTAAGGTCTGTTGTCTACGTACTCTCAATTTAAAGACCAGCAGATGCCCCCGATGAACTTTGGTCTCATACTGTTTATATCCCAAACCTTAAATGTATTGTATAATAGAAGTGGGAATAGGATTTAGTAAGAATTTTTGTTTTCTGTCCAGTCATCTCATTTTCAAAGCCTTATTCCTTATTTCAGTGTCATTGAAAGCTGGGATTGCAACTGCTACCATTTCAGTTAAGAGTGGATGATCATGCCAGCAGTCAGTGGCTGTGCTGTAACCTTTTATGTATGATGGGTGCAGGCTTTTTCGTTAAGGCGTGATGTGTTCCAAGGAATAGAGCTTTGGAGGTCCAGATCTAGCTGAAGAATCAGGTCAAATTCACCTATTAGCCTTCCACCCAAAACAGGGAAATCCTTAAAAATGTATTGACATGATCATGGTTTAAAATTACACTTCTTATTTAATTGAAGTGAAATGATTTTATTTAACTTTAAAAAGGTAAATAAACCAACATGAAAAAACCCTTACTTTTTAGCTTAAAGTGAAAATAAATTATCAGTTAAAAATACTTTCAAATTACTCAGATCCACTCTCATTCTATTTTTTCTCTGTGTACAATGACAAAGTCATAATAATCAAGCTATTTTCTAGATAATAGTATATTCAGTGTACCTCTTCCTGACCCACAGAGGAAAGACTAAAAAATTCCTGATGTATACCTCAAACCATGAAGAAACAAGGCACAAGAAGTCTCCTGAGAGATAATAATAATGTGAGGAATTCTGCGATGTCCTTCGGTTACTTCCTCGTTGCAGACACTGGGGTTTTAAACTAATTAAATCTTAACTCTACCTGTGTTACACAGAGCAAGAGGATTTCACCTGTTCCATGTTGGGCACCCAGGATTTTCTAAGCAGCTCTTCTCTTGGGTCTGCCTTCTTTGGGCTTGGAGTTTTTTTGTCTCAGGCAGACAACAAGCAGAGCTGACTGAGTCCTGTTTTGTCAAAATTTTACTTAATTTATTTATTTTTAATTCTTGTGTTTGTCAGGAATACTTTGCAGCACAGTTCACACTAGCCGGGGATAGCCCTTAGAAGTTGCCCAGCTTCCCTCCTGCACCACCTGTCCCTCCAAGGCATCCCAGCATCTCTGTAGCACCCAGCACAGAATGGATTTTAAAAAATAACCACTGTAGAACGACCGCAAAGGCACAAAAATTAAAGATATTACTTATAATTATACATGGAGTGGAAGGGTACCCCCTGGATCGCTGTATTCAGATCCATCTTCCTGCAAGCAACAGTGCCAAGGTGTTCATGAGCAGTTCTGATAACAAGATTTATTGACAGAGACACCTTAAACTCTGCCTTGAATTTCTGCCTTCTCCAAC